GTGAAAGGGGCATGGCTTCTTCTCTTTCCAAAACCAGCCCTATAGGTCTAAGGATTCCCCTCATCCCCTCCAGGTGCTGCCGTCCCTCCCCCTACAGCTCTCTGTTGAGGTCATCATCACTCTGAAGGTGAAATAAGCTTGCAAGACAATTATGTCATCTCCTGAGCTGTCCCTGGCCAGGATCTGACACCCTAATACTTCAGCATAGTAGGAGTCCTGGAGATGGGGTAAGAAACCAATGGAACAAGGGAATATTAAAAGGTCCTTTGTCTCTAATACCCCTGTACTTCCCTCCTCAATCTGGGATAAGGTAGCATGAAGGAGGAGATATTAAAGGTAGACATTGAGCAGGTTTCAAGGCCTGAAGCAGAATCCTTTCATGAGCCATTACTGAACTTTTGGCCTACCAGTAGGAATATACTTAATTGAAATATGTCTGTTTTTGCTGGTGAGGGGGGAAGGACATTGATATGAGTTGCAGGACTGTGTAGCAAACAGAAGCAGAAATAAAACTAGCAAGTCTGGAGGCTTGAAGCCTGCCACCCCCACCCTAGCCATGCATGTGGCCCCCCAGAGTTAAACTAGCACTATACAGGGATTTCCTCCCAATTCCAAGTCATGTGTAAAGAGTCTGAAAAGTCAGAAGAATCACAGTCATATACTAGGGATTGAATTTTCTGGTTGAAAGTTCCTCCTCTACCTCCAGGTCTCTTCCATAGCTAAATGAATCAGAGCAGCTCTCACTTTATGATTCCCTGAGCTGGTGAGTGATTTCCCTTAATTTACTCCCCTAGTGAGTGGATTTAGCCTCAATCCAGGAGGGTAAGTCCGCCTGGATTGAGGCTCAATGAAAACACTCAGGACCCCATTCCTCTCAACCAGCTCTGCTCAGGAACTTGCGTAAGGCCCTCTTCCTTTTGAGACCTTGTTTTCTTCACCTCTCTTAGGGTTCTGAGTCCCTTATTGAAGGAACTGTCAAGCCCAAAGGCATGCGTTATATCTCAAAGAACCTCCTGGTCAAAGAAATTAATGCTAAATAATGAAACCCTGAGAGAATAGCTGCAGGCTCCCTCTTCTAGCACCAACAAGTCATAATGGGAGGGGAGAGCAAGGAGAAGAAAAGAACTTTTGGTGTTCACTGAGCCTTGAGTAGGCCTGGTGGAGTTTGGGCTGGAAGGACTAGGGCTGCCCCCAGCCCACCTCAAGAGGTGTTGCATGATAGTGCTCTTGGAGATGGGGCCATTGACAATGTAGTAATTAATTTATGGGTGAAAAAATATTCAGAGGATCTGTATCCAGGGTGTCCCTCACCTTGGCCTGTCTCTTGCTCCTGGAAACAAAACATTCCAGCTTCCAGGAGAAGCCCTTACTGTGTGTTTAAGCACAGGCTCTTTTAATGCACAAGGAACCCTGGAGAAGAAACAAGAACAGATAAAGACTTTGCCAGATCCTAAGAGGGTTTGTTTGTGTTGGGTTTTGTTCAAGTAGAACAGACCTAACCTCAACCAGAGCTCGCTCTCAGTCTGCTCTCAGGGGCAAAGGTGCCCAGTGTTTGTCTTCCTCACAGTGGATGCTCTGTAGGCATTGTTTTATTTAGGAGCTGTGATTATGTATCCACAAACCTTACTAAATTGAATACAATCCTGAACATTCAGAAGAAGAAACAGTGCAGGACTCAGGGGAGGGTGCAGCTGGCTGGAAACAAGGGCCCATGAATTCTAATCCCAGGGCTGCCATCTGGCATTGACCTGGGACAACTCATTTACTCTCTACCCTGGAGGCTCTTTCAGGGATCTCAGAGCCTGAATAAAAACAGCCCTAGGAGCTCAGAAAGTGAAACAACCTGTCTGGACTCTCAGTTAGTGCAGTTCACAGACAAACTATTCATAGGCCCTACTCTCCAGCCAGAGGTTGTATTTACTGTTCCAGGAGGTTTCTTGCATTTTCCTTTGCCATCTCCTTGCCCTTATGTCTGAACCCCCAAGAACTTCCCTGCCTTGGGTGTTTACTGCCTGCTGAACATGGTTACAAACTCCAGGTTGTCAGAAATCACTTTGAACAGACAGAGGATCAGAACAGCCCCATCTCTATCTCCCTCCAAAGAGTTTTCTGACGGTTTGGATTCCAAGCAGGCTTCCCATTCTTCCGAACTCAGTAACAAGAGTTGGGCCTTAATCATTTGATTGTGGAAGTATATATCTTCAAGCTAACAGCTGATCCTAGCTCTTGAGTCACAAAGAAGGCTGCATCTATCTGCTCAGTTGGTTGTTAGACTCTGTGAGAAGTTGACCTGAAGTTGAGTTGCTGCTCTGGCTGTGGACCTTAAGTGGAGTTTTAACTAGGCCACGCCTTCAGGTGAGTGAGTGAGGGTTTGGGGGACTCCTACTTTGGCTGTTCTCCAAAATAACTTTCAGCCCCTGACCAGAGGCTTACAGTGGAGAGGTAGTCCTACAAAGAGCACAAAATGCATCATCTGTCACTGGGACACCATTAGACAAGACTCTAGCATAGTCTGATAGGTCAGCAGGGTTTGCCACCTCTTCATTATAGAAAAATCCTTAATGTGCCTTCAAATCAAGTAGAAGGCAGTGTTTGTCTTTTCAGATTATGGCCTTTCATTTTCTATGCTAAGCACTGGGAGGACATGGTGGAGGCAAGCATGTTCTTACCTTCACAAACATTTATTAAACAAATTATACAAATAATCATTTATATAAAATTTGCTAAGTGCATGAAGGAAATGTATGGGGGAATAGGGGCTGTGAGACTACATTATAGAGGGATCTAACTGAGCCTGGAATTTACGGTAAGCTTCTTTTAAGTGGTGATGTGTCCCACCCTGGGCAACATGTCAACAAAAATATATATGTATACAAAATTTAGCCAGGTATGGTGGCGTGCATCTATAGTCCCAGCTACTTGGGAGGCTGAGGTAGGTAGATCGCTTGAGCCCAGGAGGCTGTAGCTGCAGTGAGCTGTGATTGCACCACTGCACCCCAGCCTGGGCAACTGGGTGAGGCGCTGTCTCAAAACATAAACATTTTTTAAAAAGGGATGATATGTGTCAGCTGAGACCTGAGGATGTAGTAAGATTTAACTAGGCAGGGCGCAATGGCTCACGCCTGTAATCCCAGCACTTTGGGAGACCAAGGCGGGTAGATTACAAGGTCAGGAGTTCAAGACCAGCCTGGCCAAGATGGTGAAACCCCTTTACTAAAAATACAAAAATTAGCCAGGCATGGTGGCGGACACCTGTAATCCCAGCTACTCAGAGGCTGAGGCAGAGAATTGCTTGAACCTGGGAGGCAAAGGTTACAGTGAGCCAAGATCGTGCCAATGCACTCCAGCCTGGGCAACAGAGTAAGACTCCATCTCGGAAAAAAAAAAAACTTTAACCAGAAGGGGAGCATGAGGTTAGAAAGGCCATATTGATGCCCCATCAAGAGTAAAGAAGACCAGTGTGCAAACTGTAGTAAGCCCAGGGAAGAGTGGCACGAGATGAGGTCGGGAAGATAGAAGGAAAGGCTAATGACTGCTCCTTTGCCACCACTCTTAGCCTCATCTTAAAAAAAAAAAAAGTGCTGGTTGAGACCACCCAAACTGCTGTGGCATCCCCTAGGGGCAGGCCAATCCCTATTCCATCTCCCTAGCCACTGGGGCTTTGCAGGAAACTCAGGAAGAGGTGCTTCTAGACCCAACTTGGGGATCACACAAATGGAGTGGTCCTCACCTGGCAGCACAGTTCAGAGGAGGGAGAAGGAACAAAGACTAGGCATTCACTTTCCCTGCAATCCTCCATTTTTCCATTGCTCTGAACTGTTGGTTAATACATGACAGAAGTCATTTCCTTATTTAGATGGTTCTGCTGGGAATTCCACACCACCACCATCCCTCCTGAGGCAGATTTTAAAGTCAGCTCTCAAGATTTTATATTTGGATTTCAAAAACTAAATTTCATTACTACATCCGGTGAGACGGCGCCATTGCCTATTCCTATCTGCATGCTCCAGGCACTGTGAGGCCGATAACATCAGCATGTCGAAGCTGCTCAATCCAGACAATTTGCAGCTGGCTAGAGCTGGGCTAGTGGTGGGGAGGGGGAGGATGCAAAATTCTCTCAGAATCCAAAACAGAGTGTACTATAGATCTTGGATTTTGGGGTTCTTTCTGTATGTCATCATTTCTCCTATCTATAAAGAGACAACTCATCTTAGTCTCACCTGGACATAACAAGGAGGTGAAAATTACACTCCTAAATATCAGAACAGGACAAAATCACTGATGGTCCAACATTCAAGATGTTTTCATTGGAGTGAAAAATAGAAGGGGCTGGTGGAAAGAGTGAAAGTCATTATATGAAAAATGCAAGATCCTACTGCCTGTGAAAGCAGCTGTCCATATAAAAGCCAAAATACTCCTGGAAATGGCTATTATGTGCTTCTTTGAAGCCCAGATGTGAAGGCCATATAACTAACCCTCTGATAGCCACAAGGCTGCAGAGTGGGTGAAGACAAATTATTGCTCCCCTGCCAGGAACAAAGGAATTTTGGAGTTTCTAATTCTAACCAAGATTTAATTCTACAGAACAAGCATTCCCTTCACAACAAAAATATTTTAGCCTTTTGGGTTACTGAAAATGTACCAAATAGCATAAAACATTCATTCAACTCTGACAGCATTCACAGACCTACATTTGTAAATAGCCAAACACAGGCTGTTCTTTCCCAGAATAGGATTTTTTTTTTTTTTAATAATGCATAGGTCTCCAAGGTCAGAGTTTTGGGAAAAGTCAGTCTAACCTCATTGAGGCTGCCACTCCTGTGCCCTAGGGTGAGTCTGGCTTTCCTGCATCTCAGTGCACTGCCCACTTACTCACTGGTGTCGGTGTTTACATGCAGGAGACAGAAGAACAAGGATCTACCCCTAATTTTGAGCACAGTGGAAGCATACAGGTTACTGACTACATTACCAGGTCTGAAGACTAATAATTAAGTCAAGTGATTATTTTTATTTAATCGTTTATTTGTTTTATTTTATTTTATTTATTTGAGACACAGTTTTGCTCTTATCGCCCAGGCAGGAGTGCAATGGCACAATCTCAGCTCACTGCAACCTCTGCCTCCCGGGTTCAAGCGATTCTCCTGCCTCAGCCTCCTGAGTAGCTGGGATTACAGGCACCCACCATCACACCCAGCCAATTTTTGTATTTCTGGTAGAGACAGGGTTTCACCATGTTGGCCAGGCTGGTCTCAAACTGCTGATCTCAGGTGATCCACCTGCCTTGGCCTCCCAAAGTTCTGGGATTACAGGCGTGAGCCACCATGCCCAGCCCCATTTGTTTATTTTTACAGAAAAGTATTATTGAAGGTTTTAAACGTGAGAAAGCTTTGACTAGACATGAGGAATAATAATAATAAAAGTGAGAAAGGGCTGGGCATGGTGCCTCATGCCTGTAATTCCAGCATTTTGGGAGGCCAAGGCAGGTGGATCGCTTGAGCTCAGGAGTTCGAGACCAGCCTGAACAACATGGCAAAACTCTGTCTCTACCAAAAATATAAAAAATTAGCTGGGCATGGTGGTATGCACCTGTAGTCCTAGTTACTTGGGAGGCTAAGGTGGCAGGATTGCTTGAGCTGAGGTGGAGATTGCAGTGAGCCAAGATCATGCCATTGCACTCCAGCCTGGGTGACAGAGTGATACCCTATTTCAAAAAATAAAAGTAAAAGGTGGGAAAGCATTTTCACCACATAACAGAGTATAGGTTCCATGGTTGAGCCTCCTTCTGGATATTCACTGTTGGTGGAAAGGTGTTGTGGGTTCTGGGAAAATCTCAATGCCGGCTGATCCTGTCTGTTCTGGATTCTCAGGCCACTCCTGGTAGGTCCATGTTGGCTTTGGTCCCCTGCCTCAAGGACTAGAAGTCAAGGGTCTTTGCTGCTTTTTGCCATAGCCTGGGGAGGATAGACCAAAACTAAGTCAGGGGACTCTGGTGCAGCCAGAATTTGGGGCAACTACCTACCCCACTGCTTACTATTACTTCTAATAGTTCTAGGTTGGCCAAGCCCTGGTCAGCCTCCCTTACCTTAGCCCACTCCTTGCCCACATTTCCTAAAAAATAGCAGATGTGCCATGATATCATGACCATCACTAGACTTTTCTACTGGAGAATGTCTCTCTGTGAGGGCCTGCAAGCCTCATGAGAATCAGACTCATAATTTCTTAGAACAAAGTAAGTTTTTGCTGAAATGTTAGCAAGCCTGAGAACAGTGTCTTGAGTCCTCCTTCCCGACGTCTTCAAATAGCTGGCCATTCTCTGCTGGTTCTTTCCCCCCAGCCTCAACTATTTTCCAGTCTCTCTTATCATACAAGAGCCCCTCTAGACTCTGGTTCTGATTCCTCTGTCTTACATTATTCTTCGCAAAACTGCCTATCACAGACATCCATGACTCCGATCTCTCCTTGGTCCCTACCCCTATTTGGTCCCTACCCCTCTGACCATTGCTGTTAGTCTTCTGCTTACCTCTTCGATATTGGTGCTCCTCAATTTTTTTTTCTAGCGCTTCTTATTTATAAACATACATACATTTATACAAAACCATAAGCCTTACTCTTATTTCTGTTTCTCCATCTTTTATGGCATCACAATTCACGCAGTCACCTGAGTCAGCAGGAAACCTGGCAGTCATCCTTGCCCAGGTCTTCTCCCTGAAACCCAGATCCAACCAGTCTTAGTGCCCCAGCAATTTGACCTCAACATGTTGTTCTTCTCCACCTCCTTTTTTCCAACCCACTGACACTTTTTCAAGCTTTGTCACCTACTGCAATGACCTTTGTCTGGTCTCCCTGCTTCCAGTTTAATCATCCCTGCCCATTCTGTGGACCTGCTCCCAAAGCAGTTTGTCTATCTAAATTTGACAATGAGCTGAAAATCCTCCAGTGTCTCCCCATTATTTCTGGGTAAAGTCCAAAGCCCTGAACATGTCTTACAATGTCCTACATGATTTTAAGTCTTCCTGCCATTCTAGTCTCATCACCTGCCACTTTGTCCCCCTAACATTAACATTCTAGCAAAATTGGGCTGTTCTTTTTGCCTGCTCTGTAGTCATGTGCATCTTCCCCACTAGTCCTTTCTCTTCTTTTTCTTCTTGTTTTCCACTCCTTTCCTCATCGGGTTCAGCAGTGCTTCTTATTCAGGCTTCATCCATCAGTTTTCTTTGGAGAAGTCTTCCCTAATTCCCGGAGTGGGATAGTTGCTTCTGTTCTGTACACATACAAACCTCTGTCATAGCACTCAGCATATTATTAAAAGTATCTGCTTATTCACTTGCCTCACTCACTGGCTTATGAGCTCTTTGTGTCAGGGACCTTATAATTATTATTATTATTTAGAAGACGGGGTCTCACTCTGTTGCTCTGCGCAATCATGGCTCATTACAGCTTCAACCTCCCAGGCTCAAGTGATCCTCCCACCTCAGCCTTCTGAATATCTAGGACTACAGACACATGCCACCATGCCTAGCCAATTTTCTTTAACTTTTCTGTAGAAATGGGATCCTACTATGTTGCCCATGCTGGTCTCAAATTCCTGGGCTCAAGCAATACTCTCACTTTGGCCTTCCAAAGTGCTGGGATTACAGGTGTGAGCCACTGTGCCCAGCCCATATTATTTTTATATGTCCAGAACCCAGCACAGTGCCTAGGATATAAATGCCCTTAAAATGTAGGACCAGAACTGAATTTGGTGGCTAAGGCCCCTTTCATCTCCTTTTCTTGCACTGCCCTCTTTTGTCTCCTGGGCTCACCATTCTCGGTTTCCAATGCAGCATTTTCTTTCTGCGGCTTCCTGCCAGTCTCTCTTTCCATCTTGAGCTATCGACTGCTTCAGTGGCTCCAATATTTCCTTCCTGTGGAGAACTCATTGAGCAGGAAGTTTGTGATCAGAAAGCATCCATGCTATTTTCTAAAGAGGGGCTACAAGTGTGTGCTGAGCGCTAGAGACATGATTGGACTAGAACCACCTTCCAAGTGACTGCTTTGCAAGAAAACAGTCCCACAGCTGTGTAAGTTCTGGTGCATTGTTAATCTCATGACTTTATCTAAGTCTGAGAAGGGGCTGGAGTAAGAGAGATGAGTAAATTAGATTCAAATTGCCTTCAAGGTGTGACTTTGGACATATTACTTTATGCAACCTGGTTCTTCAATTTTAAAATGAGAATGGTGTTTGCCTTACTTGGTTTTTGGGAGGATTCAATGAAATAATATAGATAAAGCACCTAGCACCATGGCCATACCTCTGGCAGGTATTTAAGCAATATTAACTAAATGATTGGTTGAGTTCCAGAAGAACTACACCTGGGCTAAATTGTTCCAAATAACTCCCTGCCAGAGTCCAGCCAGAGCTCTTAGTAGAGCTGCCTCCCAAACATGAGCTTTGAGAAGTTCCTCCTCTCCTCTCCTCCCCTCCCCTCCCAGACTGTTGTTGCCTCTCCGCACTAGAAATGTAACCAGCTTAAGGCCAGGATGGAGGGCACTTAGCAGGGCTGTCTGGGGATGGTGTGGGTATAGAGAGGCTGGCCTAGCACCTTACTATTCCAAGTGTGGTCCCTGTACTAACAGCATTGGTACCACCTGGGAGCTAACATGAAATGCTGACAATTCAGGTTCCAGACCTACTGAATCAGAATCTGCATTTAAATAATATCCCCAGATGATTTCTACATTCATTAATATATTAAGAAGCACTGTCCTGGGGCACAGATGGGTTCACCATCTCAGAGGTGGAAGGTTGAGGCAGTGCAGGTGTATCAGAGCTGTCTAGAAGAGGTAGAGGTTGTATGGGGGCAGGGAAGGATGTGGCAAAGGGGCATACTCAGAGAAGAGGAAGTGTCCTCAGAGATGTGGACTGTAGAGCTACAGGGGGCTCTTTGGGAGGCGTTAGTCATTTGCTGTTTCAGGGCTCCTTCCTGTTGATGCCTTGAGTATGAGGTGGTACCTTTGAGTTAGCCAATGAGTGTCACCACACCAGCCAGAGTGACAATTGGGCAGGGAAAGGCCCTCTACTGCCCTGATCCTGGGGAGACACTCCTGCAAGGACCCCAGAACCATCTAAGCTTAGCAGTGGTATTGTTTTCCATGGAGATGCATAACCAGCAACTGGCTAGATTCACCCCTAAAAACATACCCTGAACTGGTATTAGGCTAGAATCTCCCCTCCCTACATCTGTACCCACAGCTGGCACATGTGCACCCCTAAAACACACACACCTGAACTTTTTTTCTCTTGGGAGACTCAGATGGGAGTTCATAAGTAGGGTTAACCCTCCCATTCCCCTATCTGACCTGCTTAACCCAAGGCTGGCCCCTGAGCCTCTATGAGCCCCTCAGCCCTGACCTCCCTGCTGCACAGAGCAGGCCTTATGAGAGTGACTACAGGCCTAGGCCTTGTTGGGTGCAGCAGAAGTTTGTTTCAGCAGAGAGCCTCTCTCTCTCTCTCTCTCTCTCTCTCTCTCTCTCTCTCTCACTCACTCACTCTCTCTCTCCCCCCCTCCCTCCCTCCCTGTCTCTGACTGGATCTCACTCTGTTACCCAGGCTGGAGTGCAGTTGTGTGATCACAGCTCATTGCAGCCTCAACTTCCCAGACTCAAGTGATCCTCCTGCCTCAGCTTCCCAAGTAGCTGAGACCACAGCACATGCTACCACACCCAGCTAAGTTTTTTTTTCTTTTTTGTAGAGATGGGTCTTACTTTGTTGCCCAGACTAGTCTTGAACTGCTGAGCTCAAGCAGTCCTCCTGCCTCAGCCTCCCAAAGTGCTGGGATTATAGGTTTGAGCCACCATGCCTGGCCTTTCTCTTTCTTAAGCACTTGTAGGACAGGACTCTGCATCCCTGTTTGCCTTCTTAATAAAAACCCTTTCCAGCCACCCAGCTAGAGCCTATTGATCTTTCCCTCAGGTAATCTGTTTATCTCAATGGTTAAGGAAAAGGCCCCCAAAAATGGGTGAGTGCCCTGTGGCAGGGTAGGAGCTGCATCAGCAGCAACAAAAAGTCATAAGGGTAGAGTCCTAGTCCCCAGGGTTGAGCTTCACCAGTAGTTGCTTTAAACTCTCTGCCGAAGTACTCAGTGACCAATAGCCAGTTCTCTTCTTTAACCCAGGCCCTGCCCAGGCCCAATCCTCTATGTCAGATAAGATGATAATCTACCACCATCACTCTCCTCTGTGCTCCTACCACCCTCCATGCATTCTTGCCTCTGCTGTTCATCTCTCTTCGTTAAATAGACTGATTTGTGTGCCTGTCATCTCCGCACTTTTAAATTTTCTTCTTAGCAAGAACTAGGGTTTTTGGTGATTTTCCCTCCCCAGTGTACATTGTGCCCTGCCCTTGTTGGTGTTCAATGATTATCAGAGTTTTAAACAAGTGGTGAGTTCACCAATGTTAATTATTGAGATGACAAAAAGGAAAGACTAGGAGACTGCTCTGGCTAGAGAGCAGAGCTTCAGAGCTGCAAATTATTTTTGTGAGGAAAGAGTAGTGCCTGCCGGGCGTAATGGGTGTTAGAGACTTAGAACAAGCTAAAAAGGAGAGGAAGGGCAGCAACAGGAAATACCACAGAGGGGAAAAGCTATCTGATACCAGCCCTCCAAGTCTATTGTCCATTGCAGACAAGTTGGTCCTTATTCCTCCAAGGCCAGAGGGAAGAAATCCCATTGACTCTGCCAGACAATTACTTTGCTTTCCTGGGAAATCAAGGAGCCCCAAAGATTTATGAACCAGTGCAGGCCAGACTCTGTTCCTTGAGTAATTGAAGCTTACTAAAAAGACTTAAGGGAGATTTGGAGCCAACATTCAGATGAGGATCCACAAGTCAGTCTGGCCCAGACAAATGTCAGTGTCTGTTGGCATTTCTCTTGTTTTCGCTTCCTGCCACATGTGGGACTCTCAAGGACTCTCCAACCACATGCCCTGTACTGATTCCTGGGCAGAATTCTCCTCAGTGTCTGTGCCTCCTCCCTTACCCTGAAGAACTGAATCCACATTCCGGAAGGAAACTGAAAGATCCTTTGGACTGTGCTCCCTAAAGCTCTGCTAACCTTGAACAACCTCCCCATCTTCCTGTCCTCTGCGCCCTGTCTAAGGGGCACATCAAGTGAAAAGCCCCTAGAAACCCAACCCCAAATCCTCAGCTCCCTAAGGGGCACGTCAAGTAGAAATCCCCCAGAAACCCAACCCCAAATCCCCAGCCGCCTCCAAATCCCCTGTTCTTAGAATAATGTTCCCTCTCCTATGAAAGGTGTCATCCCCAAAAGTCTGCGTTGTCTGAATCTGAATATAAAAAGAGAAGGGACTGCTTCCTTTCCACTGCCCACCACACACCTTCTTATTTTTCTGCCTAGGTCCTGATTATCAATCTTTTCTAAAATATTTTATTAGAATATGCATAACATAAAAGTTACCATTTTAACCATTGTGGGGTTTTTTTGGTTTTGTTGTTGTTCTTGTTTTGAGACAATCTTGCTCTATCACCCGGGCTGGAATGCCGTGGTGTGATCTTGGCTCACTGCAACCTCTGCTTCCCAGGTTCAAGTGATTCTCCTGCCTCAGCCTCCTGAGTAGTTGTGATTATAGGTGTGTACCACCACACTTGGCTAATTTTTGTTTGTTTTTAGTAAGGACAGGGTTTTGCCATGTTGGTCATGCTGGTCTCAAACTCCGGGCCTCAAGTGATCCGCCCACTTTGGGCCTCCCAAAGTGCTGGGATTACAAGCGTGAGCCACTGCGCCCAGCCAATTTTAACCACTGTAGATCAATTTTTAAAGAACTTTGCACCTTGACCCCTTTTTCCATTAAATGAGATCATCTCTCCCTAAAGAGATTGAAATGGGGGAGGCAAGGGTGATGTGGGGTTCAAAGACCTTGTAGGTCACAAGACTTAACATAGGCCAAGACCTATGTCTTAAACTGGTCCAATGGTAACTGATGCAGGAGCCTCTTCAACATCTGGCTCGGGGGATGAGGGTCAGGATTAGGCCAAGCCAGTCCTCCCAGAAGGAAGTAAGCCTTCTCCACTTATGACTCTGGTGCCTACCTCTCCTGGGTCATGAGGCTTGGCCCTTAGGCCCTTATGCATGGGCTTGCCTCAAGCCATAGCTACAGTGAGTATCCCTGAGTTGAGGTATTTATCTTATCTCCCAAATGAAGGCTTTTTAGAATGAATAGCAGAGCATCAATCTAAGACATCAGTCTTTTCCTAACCATGAAGAAGCAGGGCAGGGTTCTACATCGTCTTTTAAAAGTTCACTGGCCTTTGGGAAGCCAAGGCAGGTGGATCACGAGGTCAAGAGATCGAGACCATCCTGGTCAACATGGTGAAACCCCATCTCTACTAAAACTGCAAAAAATTAGCTGGGCATGGTGGCACATGCCTGTAATCCCAACTGCTCAGGAGGCTGAGGCAGGAGAATTGCCTGAACCCAGGAGGTGGAGGTTGCAGTGAGCCAAGATCACACCATTGCACTCCAGCCTGGGTAACAAGAGCGAAACTCTGTGTCAAAAAAAAAAAGTTCACTGGCCTCCTGTCTCTTTATTTCAAAAACAAATCCTTTTTTTTTTTTTGCAATCTCACTACCAACTTCATACTTTCACCATCCTTTTCTCTCCTATTTCTGAAAACTAAATAATAGGTAAGGAGCTGCCGCCCTAGCTGGGATAACTCTGGAACCATTTTGGTTAATTCTCCCACCCCACGTCTAAAAGCAAGGGAGACACTCTGTGAGATTTGCTTTCTGGGTCTGCAATTACAGTCACAGTACCTATAGCTGACATGCTGACACGGGGAGGACTGGCTAAAACACAGTGGCCAGTTGCCAGGCAGCGCTGGTGCTCCACTTAAAGCCCTTCCCAATC